TTCATGTGAAATGTTGTATTATGTATGAATAATAATGAAATCGAAACACTGGGACATCGCATTTCGACAATTTCAAATCTGATTTACTCAATTAAATAGAATAAATTTAAAAAAAAGCGCGCGCATTTTTTGTATGAAGTATAAATATTATATAAATAAAATTATAAAGTGTAATTAAATATACGATTATAGATACATAATAAAAAATTTCAATATAATTTTAGGTTTCGAATGAAAAGTATTGTTAAATCGTGTCGAAGCAAAATCTTTAAAAAATGAATATCCGACTACAAATACGTAAAGGATTCTAGTTGAACAAAAAAAAGTGAAAATACTCGAAAATAATATCGGTGATTGATGAATACAAATAAAATTATGGTCTCTCTTCATAAAAATTTTTCGATCAAATAACATCTTTTGCACGATCATTGAATCACGCAAATATTTTAAAAAAGATTAAAATAAAAAGCACTTTTTTCTAAAATTTTTTGAGCGATTATAGATGATTGTGTAGGTGATTAAAAACAAAAAAAAATTACTCTGGGTATAAATAACTGCGATGTGAATAACAAAAACAAAACTTACCCGAATTATCTTAAATCGAATAATTACATTAATTACTTTAAGCCTCGCAATTATTATATGGAAATTTCAAGCTAGTATCACGTACAGTTTGATCAATCGTTATACACACAATTACCAAAATAAATACGAAACAAATTTTGATTTCATAATAAAACTAAAAAAAAGGAATGCCAAAAAATTTTACGATATGATTACGTGACCAGACCAAGCTCAATATTTCTAGAGTATTACTATTCTGTAAATATACATGGGTAAGGAGAAATCAAAAAATATGTTAATGAAAGGGGAAAAAAATAAACAAACCAAATGTCGAGGAAACTTTGTAAATAAATTAAAGTTTACGATTGTATTAATTGAGTACGATTGTATTAATGGCCGCGAGAGTGCATGAAATATGTTTAAATTAAGAAAAAAAGGTATCTAGGAGCTGAGAATGTATTTGCAGAAGAGTTATACTTACAATAAAAATTGTTTTCAAAAAAGAGAGTTTGGAGGTTTTTTATTATTATTTCCTTCCGTCCTCTCATTTCATTTCTTTTTAACTGTGAAATACTGCAGTATTTAAATTCGTAGTAAAAACACCATATACCGTTTTAAATTACTAAATATATTCACTTCAAAAGTAATATACAAACATCAGAGTCTTGATTTACAAGTCTTTTGAAAGTAGCAAAACAAAAAGTGCTGTTCCTTACGATCCTACACAATAAATAAGTTCATTACCCACACTACAAGTATTGTTCTCGTATTTAACGCTCACCTCTTCTTTTTCTACGTCTACTAAAAATATTGGATCGTTAGGTATTTTCCTCTTATTTGATAAAATATCTGTCACAGGAATAGTATGAGGACCCATGACTGGATCCTCATAGTAATACAATGCCACTGTGGAAATGTCTGAAAGAAAATCATAATTACCTGTAATGCTCTTGTCTTAGGAAATTTTCGACTTTATTTGTTGAATCGATTCACCATTACTAATTTTAATGAGCACCTCCAACATACCGATACATTTTTGTGGGTTGGTGAAACGCACGGTTACTCCTGGATTTGCATAAAAAGGGTTGTAATTTACAATTAATTTTATAATGTATGTAAGTATAACAATGTGTATATGTTGCGTGTATATACACATATGTGTGTGCTCCGAGAATGAGAATACGAGCTACTAACTAAACGTACTTCATGCTTCTCTACGATAGTCAGTCGGAGTCCGAGTCATGAGCAGAGCACACCGTATTATGGCTGTGTTCGCATAAAGCTCCGTTTAAGTCAGTTAAGGTCACGTGATTATTTATCATAACATGATGTCACCGTCTCACTCGCACTCATCATAAATGATTACGTGACCTTAACTGACTTAACTAACGGAGCCGTATGCGAACACAGCCTGTGTGTCTCTTGTTATCTGTGTTTCAAATAAAGCCCTTGTTCTATTAAGTTCACATTTATTGCCTTCACCACTGTACAATCATTAACATCAAAAAGATATATATGGTGCACCAGGACAACACTCTTCCTTCGTCTTCTCATCAGCCTCGTCTGAATATTTGATTTCCAAATTGTCCAGCTGAAAATACAAAAACAATCTTGATTAGTTTTAAATCCTGCATCGATCCACTGATAAATATTAATATATTCTCACATCAAGAGTGTTTCGTAAGTACTCTTGGCTGCCTAGAAGCACGTTGAGTTCATCGAAATCTAAAGTTAAATTGAGAGCACCAATTCCAACGGCCATAAGTTTTTCTTTTGTCATCTGTACAAACGGCATCACTCGCTTACTATACTTCTTCAAATCGTCTTTTCGACCTAACTCAGCGGCTATCACTTTGTTTTCTGGAAGATTATTACCATTTTTCTGTGGAGAAAAAAAAGACAAATATCTTACAAAATTGTTTTTCATCAAATCAAGTTGTAAATATATATTTACCGTGTACAAATCTTTTAGAGTAGTTAGAACGGAACTCTGCCAGGTAGGCCACGTTTTTGCGACATAAATGATACCACCAGTAGGTTTTACTGTCGGAGTCACGGGTCCTTTTTGTGATTTCTTTGTTTTTGCCGACATGTGATTGATTAGGCGCACTCTGAATGAGTGAGCAGCATCCATAAGATATTGGGAGGATTGTATTAAAACTTCATCAATTTCACCAACTGTTGGCCAGTCGGCTTTTACAATACTACTTATCTGAAATTAAAAACAAAAAAAAAAAAAAAAAAAAAAAATTGAAGATAATGAATGAACGATGACAGTGAACCTTCGAAGAAACTTACCTTTCCAATCAAGCTCCAAACATATTCCGCTACATGAGGACAAATAGGTGACAAGATTATAGTTTGAAATTCTATGAATCGCATCAGAAGATCCAAATTGATGCTTTCCAGTGCACTGAGTTGTAAATATTTATCTTTCGTCGATTGTAATTCAAAAAAGCCAGTTTTGAGAGCATCTTTATACAGCATCTTATCGTAGTTTTCACCCGTTTCCTTAATTTTCAAATTAATTTCACTGTAAATACATTTAAATAATTTATGCTAACTCTCATGTAATTATCAAACAATTGATTCAATGTTAACAATAAATTACCTATCAAATACTTTATCATTGAAAGTACTGGGTTTTCCTTGACGAAATGTGCTCTTGGGAGCTGCAATGATTTCCTTGACCCATTCAATAAACGTGAACAGCCTCAGGATCCCAGCATCAGCGTTTCTCTCATCAAAATTAGCATCTTCGATCGAATCACCAGAGTCAGCCAAGCACAGACGTGTACCGTCAGCTGAATACTTTTTAACAGCGTCAGAAAGCGTTAAGAAGTTTCCTTCAGATTTGGACATCTTTGCAAGAGATACACAAAATGTTCTCATTAACTTAAACCTTAATGCAATAGTTTAACTTTTTCTAAGAAGAGAAAAAAATACTTTTGCCGAGTTCAGCAGTAAATGACCATTGGCTCGAATACCTTGGGGCCACAATTCTGGTTCAGTAGGCCAAATTGCTGTGTGGTTGTAAAGGAAAAACGTCAAGTGATTCTGAATAAGATCTTTGCCAGAAACGCGAAGATCTACTGGATACCAGTACTGAAATTCGTTTCTCATCAAATTCAAAGCATGCTCTGGAATTTTGCACGTTGTCGGAGACGGCAGCTTGGCTTCCTTAAAGAATATGTAGTCCCAAACTTCAGGAGTTATGTTTTCGGCTCTGAAATGTATTTTAATTATAAGAAATCTAGTAAAATGTAACTATTATAACCATCTTACTTGATTTTAAGTGCATTGGGCTTGTCTCCTTTGAAACTGTTTCCTTGAATTAAGTGTGCCACTGTATAGTATGCCATGTAAATTGTTGAATCAGATAGAGATTCAATTAGCCACTGCTTATCCCAAGGTAACTTGGTTCCTGTTAAATGTACAATATGCCTGTTTATTACAACATTGAACGAATGATAGACGCTTTGATACAGAATAAAAAAAAATGAGCTAACCAAGACCATAAGTTCTTGAGCACGCATACTCGTGAAGCCAATCAAGGCACGCTTGGAAATTTTTTCTTACTTCATCGTGAAAAGTTTCTAAGTTTTCTAGAGCTTTTTCGGTTGATGCCTTCCACTCTGGCTCGCCATAATTCAAGTACCACTGATTGCACAAGGCAACAACACACTCGTCTCCAGATCTAGAGATGATGGTCTTCTCGGGTTCGTAATAAATTACTGCTTCGTTTTTATTTATCAATTCGTCTTTAAGATTCTTTTTGACATCCTGAATTTTCTTGTTTTTGTATTCACCAACTAGCAAAACACCATCGTAAAACCCTTTCAAGTAGACCATTTCCTTGGCTTGCTGTAGTTTTACAGAATCATTTTGAGACTGGATTTTTAGCTGATCATACACAGTAACTGCAGACAGATTTCCAAAGTCTGGTACTTCAATGATTGGAACCTACAAAAATTATATAAAACTTTAAAATAAATAACTGTTTCTGATAATAATATTACACTTACAGGCTCATATGGTAAGACCATGTTGTCTTTGATACCATATTTCTCTCTTAAAGGCTGTTTCTTTTTTAAATCAACGAGAGCTGCATAATCATCAGGGGAGTCACTAGGTACAGATGTTACAACACCAGTTCCCTTGTCTTCTTTGATAGTCAACATTGGCAGAGTATAAATGACATCATAGGAAGTCTTGGGTGACTTGAGAGAGGCACCTAATATGTCCTAATACACAGATGATAATTAAATTTATCAGATCACTCATTACAATAAATATCACAAGTGCCAAAATACTCACTGAACCAGTCAACTCAACAACAATATCGATTTTACCCTCTTCTTTCGTGAAACCTTGCCACGACATATTTCTCGCTGCCCTTTCAGTGGATATAAAAATTTCTTCTTTTACAGTTTTAAAAGCAATGTAACGCATATCTGGTCGTACCCAACAATTCGTTTGGCCATACATTGTTTCCGGCCTAAGGGTAGCAGCTACCAAGAATATTGGTGTTGCATCAGGAGTGGATCTATAAAAATTAGGATTTGAAGAAGCATTTTTGAAATTATGTACTTGATTACCACTTCACAAGTAAACAGCAAAGAGAAATATTTGTAGCATTAATCAAAACTGTATAAGTATTTACTGTAGTTTGTTGGGATACGGTTTCAGCATCTTCATTTTAATCAAGGTGTATTCTTGAGGACCAACACCCTCACCAGATGACCTGTCATGGTCCATGCATGGCTGATTGTCTTTGGGTGAGAAGATAGTGTACCTTTTACCATACTTTACTTTATTACGAGCCTTTAGATGATTGAATTGCCAACATACAAAGGAATCAAAAAAGGGATTGGCATCAGTAGTCATAAAGCTACGTCTCCAGTCTACCTGTGCAAATCAATGAATGATAAATTAGACACTTGTACAATTATTATCCTAAAACTGCCTATGCTTATACACTACATACATTTAGACCAAAATTCTTCAAATCTTGCACAGCAAGAGGAGGGAAATAATCCAGCCAATATTCAGCATTGGCAAAATGTTGTATTTCATCATCTTTCAATCCTAGACTTTGCATTATTTGCCATTGGTATTTCGCTGCACCAGCCTTTGCAACAGCTTTACTCTGTCACAAATCAAAATCAAAGTTAATCTCCTGGTACTAGAAATTGCATCAAGTGATGCTTTTAAAACTCACCTTCTTTCCTTTACTCTTATCTACAATAACAACATCCTTATTTGCTTCCTCAACTGGACTGTCATCCTCAGTGGCTGGAAATTTTGGTGGATAGCCAAAAGTTTCCATTTCTCGCTTCAATTTGTCTGCACATGCTTTGATGGGCATGCCAGTGCAGTGGAAGCCAAAGGGAAAAAGCACCTTTTTTCCCAGCAGTCTATTGTACCTTGTTGCAAACTGACGAAGCAAATGATTTTGTCAAAATAAACAAATCACCAACGAAAAATTCAAAAAATAACGACATAGACAACAAGTTAACATAGTACCTCGCATTTGGACAATGAAAACGCATGTCCTAAATGTAGTCTGCCATTCATGTAAGGAAACGGAAAGGTAGCCAAGAACTTTTCATCGCTCCTCTTCTTTGGCTCAACCGGAGCATTTTCCTCAAAGATCTTGTCATCCTCCCATTTTTTCTGAACATCCCGCTCTATCTTCTGGAGGTACTCAACTTTAAACGTACCCTTTCTCTCACCCATTGTGCTCTAAATTACAGAGTTAATTGTTATTGTAAATAACACTTGCACTGATTTACCGATATTAATTTCGAAATTACAGACTAGAGAGGTTAGCTCGCACTTGCCGGGAAATCGTATGGTTCGTGCAAATTGATATTTAGTGGATTCACGAAAAGTCGAAAGAACGCACTCGTCACTAAAGATGCAAGCTTACTAGCATCGATAATTAATTAAAAAATCAATTTAACTTGGTTGATGAAATAACGTGCTCTACGAGCCGCGCATCCATACGGAATCGATTTTGTATTTTGTATCCGAGAAACATATATATATATAAGCATACAGGTAGACGTTTATAGCAGACGGAATTACAGAAAGCATCTCTATATGGATATCAAATCATCATCAGATGGTTTTATCTGACCAAGCTGAGACTGTCATAATGTCATCTTAAAAATAGTCAAATCACAATCAGCGCCATCTATTGAAATTTTTCTGCTCAACGCTGTGCTCAGCTTTTTTCAAAAAGTTGAAAGTTCACTACATCTATATACACGTGTATGTATGTGTGTATATATATACATATCTGCCAGTCGATGAGGAAGGATCTGTACTTATGGTCGATATCATAGGAATTCTTACCTACTGGGGGGTTGTACTTTCCAGTACAAAATCACCCGCGCGAGATGGCGCTGGCTGTCAATTGTAAGTGACCACCACAGTCGGTACCGAAGAATGTCACTGGTCGGTACGGAAGAATCAGTTAACTATCGTCGATATGATAGGGATTCTGTTAACCCGTCTGTACCGACACAGTTTACTGACGAGTCAGCTACCACCCACAGTAGGTAAGAATTCCTATAATATCGACAAGAAGTACGGATCCTTCCTCATCGACTGGCAGATGTGTATACACATTATACATCATGTATATAGATATAGTGATCAATGGTTCTTCAAATTTTTGAAAAAAGCTGAGCAGAAAAATATCAATAGATGGCGCTGATTGTGATTTGACTATAGGTACGTCTATAGGCGGAGTTCAGGAGCCCTGGCCGCGGCCAAGGTTGGGAACTGGGGAGCGTGGCAACCAAGCTTGGCCCAGAATTTTGCCTTCTTTCAATTGATAGTGGTAATTGAGTAACAACACAATTAAATGCCATATATATATATATATATATATATATAAGCGTATATGTACCAGAGTATAGCCGTCTGCTAGCTGCTGACGGCCGAAAATATGTATGTACATGACGTATAAACAATTAGCAACGTTTGTTTAGAGGCTCTTATTTTTTTTCTCAGTCTTGTAATTTTTTATCGCAGTGGATACAACTGTGTGCAAAATAATGTGCGTTCATCTAGTTTGGTGTTGCAAGTTGCCGGAAGTTATTGATTTTTACTGAGGAATGATATTTGAGACTTTGGTGTTCCGTCGTTCTGATATGGATCGTTTTTGTTGAATTAAAATCATCGAGACTTAGCATGGAAAACTACGAAGTGTTGCATGATATCGGAGCAGGAGCGTTTGGTCAGGTTTTCAAAGCTAAGAGGCGAGTCAATGGGGAAACCGTTGCTTACAAAGTTGTGAGGAAGGTCGGTAGTTTTTGCACACATCTACTCATGAGTATATTTGTGTACTGAAAAAAAATTTGCTTCAGACTGGCAGGTCGCCCGAAGAGTTGGTGAGCTTCAGAAAAGAATGTGAGATTCAAAGATGCCTGTGCCATCCCAACATTGTCAAGATGTTGGATTCTTTTGAGACTGAGAGTCAGGTAAATTATTTGTGCTGAAATTTCTTTTCAATTTTATTAATACGTCATGACGTTTGTATTGTAGATCGTTGTTGTCAGTGAATACGCAGAAAAGTCATTGGATGAGCTTCTTGTTGAGCATAGAAAGTTGTCTGAAGAAAGGGCACAAGTAATTGCTTGTGATCTAGTGTCGGCGTTGTATTATTTGCATTCAAATAGAGTATTACACAGGTTTGTTATTCTTATTGTCTTTTAATGCAGTATGGACTGTTGATTTTTATAAATATACATGAACTTTAGTGTAAAATATAAAACAGAATACATGATTTGTTAATTCTAAGTAATCATCTCAAACAGTATTAAACGAAGCACTTAAATTATGCTTTATATTAATTAGGGATTTAAAACCACAGAATATACTACTTGATGCTCATGGGATAGCAAAATTATGTGACTTTGGTTTTGCATGTGTTATGGGTAAAGAAACAGATGTTTTAACATCAATTAAAGGAACTCCTCTTTACATGGCTCCAGAGCTCATCGAAGAGTATCCTTATGATCACAATGCTGACTTATGGTACGATATATATGTTTTACTCTTTAAAACAATGTTCATTGCAAGGGTTTTTTGCAAACCATGTAGCCATGAAGTTGAAAAGAGGGCTATTTTGTCATTTATTGAATTAACACAGTATTTTCAAAAACGATAACTGGAAAATTAATAGCGATTCCTAAACGACGAAATTTTAATTTCACTCAAAGTTATTTAATAATGTACAAATATTTCGTACATGAACATACAAATGTTTCAAATTTCTAGTGAATGACAACCATAACATGCGATAATTTGCATATCTTACTGCTAGAATAACTAAAAATATGGACAACAAATGTTTAATGAGTAAAAAGAAAGGAATGAAAAAGTGTGAAATAAAAATAACATTATTAAAAAAATCTGGCTGTTATGAAAAAAAAGAAAAAAACAACTTCTAGAATCTATAATTAAAAATAATATCTTAATCAATTTCACATTTCGTATCATGGGCATGTACAAACTGGAGCTACCGAAGGGTGCGATTCTTTTACGTATGGGCCCGAGCATGAGCAACCTTTTTTTACCAAGGACGCAAAGTACTATTTTGCACCTGTGGGCAGACTTTGGACCCGTAAATCATTGCGCTTTTAATAAATGTTTGCAAAAAGACAAATAGTAGACCACTTAGAGAGGAGGTCAATTAACAGTATCATAATCCGAGCTACATGGTTTATGTAAGGATCCTATAAGTTATCCATATAATTTTTTAATGAAAATGTTTCATCATAGGTCTCTTGGGTGTATCATTTATGAACTAGTGATGGGTTTTCCCCCTTTTGCCACTGCCTCGATAGTACATCTTATTCATCTTATTAGACACGAGTCAATTAAATGGCCAGATTGTATTTCTTCCAGTTGCCAAACATTTCTTCAAGTAAATGGATACAATGTTATTATAATTAGGATAAGATTTTTGCTGAATTTTTATGCTGAAAAATAATTTAAACCCGCCAATGTTGTTTGCGATATTTCGTTGACTTTGCCTGCCAACTTCATAAGACAACTTTATTTAAGTAACACATTACATTTTAAACGTACAACAATTGACACGTTAATGACATACAATTTATTTATCTAGTTGCATCTTATGAAAGAACAAACAAATAAAACACCATCTCTCCAGATCATTTTGGCATTGCCAACGTATTTTATTTTAAGTATTACTACAAATTAATGTAATTGATCTTTCAAAAAACCTGTCAAATGAATCACGTGCTTTGTCTTAACCAATCACGCAACATATAAAAAGGCTTTAATCATATGCCAATTTTTTAAGATAGAAAACTCTTTCCTGTGTTTGTTAAATTTTGTCTAATAAGGTTGACCATCAAAGCCCAACGAAACGTCGCACACAATCCACAAACAGCATGTACATATTGGTCAAAACTATTTTTCCTGGCTCTCCACTGGCTGAGTACTTGATTGACGATCCAGCAAGAATCTTACTATTTATATCTCGGAGCATGTACGAGAATAGAGAATTTGCGTGTGCCAGGATTATTACATCGAATAATACTTGGATTTACTAAAGTAACTTCAGTTGATTGTATATTAACGACAGTATCGTTAAATAACTAAAAATCTGGAATCAACTGAACGAACTTTTAGGCATGTTGTTTAGTTGTGTTTCTTTGCCTTATTTTATCATATCTTTTGCCTGTTTGCTATATAGTTAGTAGGCATATTCGCCTTCATAGGTTACCGATCAATAACTTAAAGAATCAAACGTATTCAAAAGCTCTTACATCACAAATTTCTTAAAAAACATAAATTTAACATGTAAAAAAAAAATAATCTCAAAAACATGCACCTTCTCTACTCGTTGCAGTTACATATTATTATTGTAGGGATTTTCAATTTTATTAATAGTCATGTATTTTAGGGGTTGCTACAAAAAGATTGTTCACAGAGACTCACCTGGCCAAACCTTTTAAAGCACCCTTTTGTTAAGAATCGCATACTGATAGTTGAAGAGAACATGCCGGTTTTAATGAAGAAACTCTTTTCTGCTACTCATTACGGTGCAAAGTATGTTTTTTTTTTTTTTTGTTTTTTTTTCAACCATGGTTGCATACTCAATAGTTTGTAATTGTTTGTAAGCTCGTATTTTTAATTTTAGCAGCTTACAAGATAAAAATTTTGATAAGACTGATTCTCAAATCTATACAAACGACATTATGTCCGATGGCAATTCAAGCAATTCTAATGTTAAAGCCAACAACAATGCATTATACGTGAATCAAATAGACGTATTTGATTTAAAATCGCAGTTTAACAACGATGAATTATACGCAAACGTGAGTTATTGCCATGGAATGACAAATAAGTGATGTACATATTTATCGAATTTAAAGTTATTTTTAATAATTTATAGTTTCCGATTGAAGACAAGCAAGAAACTAACATTTACGAGAACACAACGTTATTCGACTTTGTCGAAGAGCATCCAATAGAAAATGACGAATGGATTGCTTTTTTGCAGAATTCCATGGAAGAAATAATGGAGGGAGAAATAAATTCTCTCTTGCAAGAGAACTGCGTGTCGGTTTTCATCTCACCCTTGAAAAATACAGCTGCCAGCTGTCGCGTGACCCAATACATTTCCAGCCTTCTGTCCTTGCCTTTTGTAGTGCCCTTGAAAAACAAAGATATGGAAAATATCCTCAAGACATACGTTGATACCTCTGTCGTGCCTAATCTAATATATGCCTTGCTAAACTTATTTGTAAGCAACGAAAGTAAGCAAGAACATTCTTTGAAATCGCCGAAAAAGTCAGAATCCAATATTGGCCTTTCGATAGATCAATTGCAAGCCTTAGAATCCATGATAGTGCTCATGAGTAGACTTGTTTACACGAAGGATGAATTTGTTAAACAATTTTGTGATACGATTCAAGTTAAGGATAGAGTAAGAATATTTTATACCATTCTACATCTAGAAAAAAAGAAATCCAGAATAATTGCGAATTTAATCGCGATTTTCATAAGACTTATCCGTACGGGCATCGAAAACATGAAAGTTGTTGAAAAAGTCTTGTTGGAATATCAACCAAAAGGTGAAGAAAAAATAAATTTTTCAATTTTATATTTCATACTTATTTTCAATATCCTTTTCAGAACTGTTAGATCTTTTTACTTTTTTAATGAGCCATCAAAAAAGTGCACTGCGATCAAGAACGTGTGTTTTAGTTTACCTATTGGGAGTTAATTACAGCAAAGTATTACGACGCATTTGGGGACAATCTTTGAGAGATGCTATTGAAGCTCTACTTAATGATAGCAACGATTTGGTTAAAAAGGTAGTTTTATAATTATTCAATGAACAAATGCTGAATATTGTGGGTGAAAATAATTTTTCTTACTTATTTCTGTAGACTGCAGAAGAAGTTATTGTAGAATTAAGACAATTATATTACTTTGATCAAGAAACTGAATCTAGTTAAATGCAAAAACAAAATTAAAGTGATATTGACGCAATATATTGATGGACTATTATAAGGATATCATAATAAAAGTGGAATATATCGGAAATCATGTAAAAGTGTATTTAAAACCGTTTTATTTCCTAATTTATTTATATTTAATCTAAGCATTATTAATCGATCGAATGTATATTAAAAGTAACCTTTTTATATCGAACAAGTATTTAATAAAAAAATTTTTATCACCATCCATAAATGAGTGTTTTATTTTTCAGTTAATTACAAAAATATTGCGCAGTGAGCTTCATAAAGGATTATATACCAACTTTTTCTACTATTCAGTGATGAAAAAATGTTTTAACAATCAACTTTTTGATCCGAATAAATTAAAATTTAAATAAATACTTAACTATTCGATTGGAATTGAACATAGTTTGAATCAATTAATATGGGATCAACAGTAGAGTATAAAACTAAGTGAGTCATTTAAATGAAAATTGCACTATTTCTTGCCTGATCTTGTACAAAAAATTAAAAACAAAATTAGTGGTCCTATGCGTTATGAAGTAAGTATTATTATCTAATTCTTACATGACTTAAGATACAATGAACACTACAACGGTGCACTAGTACGAACTTGGTAGGATCTCATTATTGTTTAAGAAAGGGCTGATTTCTCTAGCGTGACTGGGTATGGACTTCAAATATTACCGTCTTTTCGAGTGTTTTTCAGTAACAGAGTTTTAATACTTGTACTACATCATAACTAGAAAACTACGAGGGTGATATGTTGATTAAAAAATCTCCATCTTTACCGAAAGTTGAAAATCGATTATTTTCGATTCCGCGCAGTAGTACGAATTCGTTTTGGTCAGACGGGCTAACATCGGCGATAATATAATTTATTTCAACGTCCTCTTGTGGGTGAGCTTACACAGATTGTCATAAATCGTATAATAATGCTTGTGGATGTCAGTTTAAAAATTGCACTGTATGAGAGCTCGATGAATTGATGCATAGTTCCATTCCCTGATATAATAATTCAACCTATAGCTGTGTGCAGACAAATTTAAAAAAAAAAAAAAAAAAAACAGGAAATAAACAGTGACGGTTTCATTTATTGAATAATTCGAGAATGAGAGTAAATATTAGGAATGCACGTACATCGGTCCCTTCTGTTCTCCACGTATGTTGGCAATCGCGCTCAAAATTCTCTAGTGGATAAAAACGTTGATTCTCCAGTATAGATCAGTATACCGCTCTTGGTGTGATGAAAAAATGACGAATAAATTGCCTTACTACAGAATACCATAGTATAGAGAAAATTCATTTTTTAACATGTTTACTGTAAATTTATGGAAGTTTTACTAATTGTAAGGTTTGGAGTGCCATTGTTAATAGGATATTCAAATTTGAATTTACGTATTATGTCGGTCATAATAAACGTGATAATTAATATTAGCTTCATTTCTGTGTTCAAATTTTATTCACTTTATGCACAATGACGTCAAGAGATAACAATAGCAATATTTCGAGCAGTTCCAACTACTACAAGGTACTGAAAGGCCAAATAGATGCAATCCAATCCGTGGCACCATTGTTATTTCCATTTGTTTCTTTTTCCTCCTTTTCTTTTTTCTCGCGAGTTTCGCACTCCGCTTTGTACATGCGATTGAGTTTCATAATGTCCTTCTCACTAAAACCACTCCTTTGGCCAAGAGTCACATTTCCCATCTGCAAATAATTTTATAACTATTATCATTTATTCATTGATTCTTTATAGTGTTTTCATGTATCATTCATCATTTTAAATTATTCGACATGATTGAAAACATACAATTACGATAATAATATTGAATACAATGGAACCTTTTACACCATGTGAATATGGAACCAGCTCGGACTACACTTGTTTTATGTCAAAAACTATTATGTTACCTTAAATAGTCTCCAAAAAAATCTATAAAATCCTTCCGTTTGTAGATCAAGTCTTAAAAATCTTATAAAAATTCAACCGAACAAACCTTTGGCACGATAGTCTTATTGCCGTTCTTTGAAAAGGCCGTCGAACTGTAGTGCATGACACTGCCGTAATCATAGCCAATTCCAAAATCCGAGACCGTATCGTTGTCGTACTTATCAAAGTTGTGCTCCCTACCGGGTGTTATGTTTTCCCACTGTATCACGACCCACTTGTCGCGATCGGCAGCGCTCTGCTGATGGTAAAAGCCAAGGGCGTGGAGGAACTCGTGCAGGATAGTTCCCTGGCGGAGACAGCCTGGATTTTGGAAATTTACCACCTGACCCGAGCCATGTTTTCCTACGTAGGACCAGCAGCCCGAGCCGTCGCCCCGCACCTTCACGTAATCTTTGTCGCCCTTTTTGTACGGACGAAAGCGGATGCAGGTCCTGTTATGGTATGTATCCAAAGCCTGCTTGATCTGCTTGATCTGGTCTTTAGCTAGAAGTATACACTCGTTTCAACGGTACACAAAAAGTAAACCATCGTAAGGGTGGTTCGATTTTTTGAAAATTTTTTCCATGAATGGCTCACTGAAATCGTCTTTTTCGATGTGGTAGGGCACAACGGCATCGGGCCATTTGGCGTCCTCATCCAAAAGACCGTTTTTGTCAGTTGTTTCGACTCTCATTATATCACCTTCGTACAGACCACTGAGTTCCCAGATATTGTTGTCCTCTTCGGTCGTCCATTTGTTCAATCTTTCGGCTGTTTCAAAAGGCAATCATAACACATGCATCAACAACTCTATTTTCCGTCTTCAGTATACTTTTATTATAAACACACTTGGAAAAAATTATTTTATGGAGTTTGAAACACTAGGAATAATATTTTGATAAAATTTCATTATAAATATGCAATGCATGGTTTTTGCTGGACAATTTTTTTTTTGTACAATCTATACATCAACATACGATTTAAATTTTCTATCAATGAAAAGCACAACTTATTTGACCGGAATAAATTTTATTATAAACCGTTTCATTAAGCATTAAAATAGTTTTTTTCAAATATTTAGACACTTTTAAAACAAATTTTGTTGTATTAAAATTTGATGCACCATTTTTATAGCAAATAATTATACTTATTGTATTATGAATAATAATAAAAAGAAACACATAATATTTTGGAAAACAATTAGAACGCTGAGTAGTAAAGTTAGCCGAGATTAAATTTTTATGAATAACTTTATGTGTACAATACAGTATTAAACAATACTTTTAAAATCGCATAAGTATGCTATAACCGATATAGTTAACAGAATGGTAGAGTCACAATTAAACGAAGCCTTACCGATTTCTACGCGATTCTGTTTGCCATCAAAAATACCAGCATGTTTCGAAGGCGGCGGTACATCTTCGGGCAACGGCTCTTCTTCGATTCTCAAAAAAGGTAGCGCATTGGCCATCCCTAAAGTCAGACACAGAATACTTACGTTTCGCACAAGCGACATTTTCCCTCTTTGGCCAAACAAGACAGAATGAACAATTAACGCTTGACTTTTGATGTCTAGGACTTGAATATACATATCACGGTAGAATTGGTTTGTAGGTCGAGCATTTGTTTTCACGGCACATGTTCTTACACGTTAGGAATAAATCTCACGATTCAATATGTAAATTTCGCCTTTTTATCGTCGGTATAATCTCTTCGGCTTTGATAATAAAGTAACAGTAAAACTAGTGTTTAAATGTATTTGTTAGATTACAGTGTGCATTAAACGTTTGAAAAAAAATAGTTATACCGGCATTAAATAAAGAAATAAATGATATAATTCTAAAATTGAATGTATTTCCAACGGTAACGAAGATGAAAGTTATAATAATTCGATAATGTAACATTTTTCGTACTCAACGCACGTGAGCTGATATCACGTGGTGATAGGGTTATTCGGCACCACAATCACAAGGTTTTTCTTTACAAGGTTAAATGTCTCATTATTTCCTATATCTTGACACTTCACTTACATTTCTTTTTGTAAAACTAAAATTTTTTTTAACATTAGTCTTCTTTTTGTCCTTAAAATTGTTCATCCTTACTTAATCAACTCATGTTTATATTATTTTATTCTTATCTACCTACTATCCTATTACCATTTTAATCTTTATTTATTTTTTTTGTTTGTGTTAAAACAAATCAAACAATTAATAACAAAAACAAAAAAAAAATCTTCATCTAATTAGTACGCCTGAGAATAAAATCATTAGTACATGATAACATGAAATCAGGCACTTTCTCGTGACAAGTAAAAATTAATTTTCGTTGTTATTTTACTAACAGATAAGCTAAAAATTAATCGAAGCAATCGTGTAAAAATAAATAAGGATAAATTAAAAAATGACGGACGAGCTCGTGAAAGATGAAGTTTCATACGAGAAGCTCAGCTTACGCATACTCTCAAGAGCAAAGTTGAGTGACTGCGTATGTGTGCATGATATACGCATAAAATAAAATCCAGCTGCGCATAAAATTTAGGCTACGAGGAAGCCCATACTCGAATCTGGAACGGCAAACCGGTCGTTGGCCTCGTGGTGTATACGTGGTACAGAAAATCGTTGGTTGGCCGCTGCCGAGCGCGCATTTCATCCCGTTGACGGGTAATTGTCCTGTACTTGTCCTCGTCACGTGTAATATGGTATTCTCAGGAGATCGCTCTTCATGTCTCGCATTTGGGATATTTCAATTCTTTTTTTTTTTTTTTTTTTNCCGCTCATGCGTAGTAAGAGTTGATTTTTGAGTAAAACTTTTTGAACATTGTTTGCAGCTGTAGGGCTTCTCACCCGAATGAGTCTGCTCGTGCACTTTGAGACTGAATTTCCGACTAAAACTTTGTAAACAGTGTTTTTTTTTTATTACCTGATTTTAATTAATCGTTAGTTGAAGAATCAATTAGTAAAAACTGAATTTTGAAACTCAAAATATCAACGAAATCTTATTGTAACTGCAAGTCAGTAGAAAAATTTGAGGAAACAAAACAGATGAATTTTCGATGTATTTAGAAATGTAATGTAATTTTTTTTTTGTAAAAAAATATCAGGCTGTAGTGTAATTACTTGTAAAAATTTAGGTTAAACTATAGAATGCGTCTCCTGTCAAGAAAAGAGATTTAAAAAGAAATTTGACTTCAACGTGTTTACTGAATGGGATAAAAAGAACTTAACTTTCTGAATTGAAGTATCTGGTGTTCATCTAGAATTTTTTTTAACAGCAACAAGCCTACTGAATGAAAATTGCACATCCACTTAAATATAAATATTATGAATTCATATTACACGTGTGAAACTATGTTCAATTGTTTATTATTCCAGTTACACGAGTATTGTTATTACAAAATTTTATTAAAAAATTTTTATTTTCGTACATAGTTTTTACATTTATGAATATTTGTGTCTAAATTTTTTCTTAAATATAGAGGTTGCAGGGAAAACTCAGCCAACAGACTTTAATACAGTGATTTATTTAGTTAAAAATCCTATGATATTAGGTTGATCAAGAAAACGAGATTTGGATAGAGGGCTATGGAGTAGAAAAAGTATAGACTAGAGTCGTACAAGAGATGTTAGGTTTATTTTTTGTTAAGTCTTACTTCGTCTATATTTTAATCGTAGGTATTTTGAGTAAAGAAAAAATTCAGACGTGCCAGAGAAAACATCAGATTCTGATTCAGCAGCAAAAAATTCGCACGGAATGTATTCGTATGAATCGGGATCCTTTCAATTTTTTAGGGCCCTGCTTCATTTATACAAATTATGTGGCTCGATATAAATTTCGTGATTGATAGGTGCAAGGCCAGTCTAAACAAGTATATCAATGATAAATCTAGTTGAGTTCAAAAGTAAAGTTGATACAAGTCATAGGTGCGTTGTTTCATATATCTATTATCACAACCATCATATGAAGACGTTACCTCGTGTGAGGTTTATCTTCAGTTAATCGATATAAAACTATTTTTATTAATCCGTAGTCCATATTGTAGTGATATGCAGGATTTTTTGGGGATGATGCTACTCCTAATTCGGTGGATAGTAAATTCTGTCCATTTAATTTATTGAAAGATAGGAATGGCACTGAATGTTACTTAAGTAAAAAATAGCACAGTTAAACTTATTTAATTCCATGAACAATTACGATTGAAAGTACTGGAAAATGAGGGCAGTTCTGCACTTACGCTCAGCGAATCATTCGTGTAAGTCGGCTCGTGCCATGTATGACACAATGCCTGACTAAATTCTTTTGAACTACATAGTTTAGAGCCAAAGGATTGATCACCAGTGCAAGTCCATTCGTGTATTTTAGGATTTGATTTATTAGTGGATTTTTTTAAACACACTTTGCGGTAGTAGATCGGCTTGTGCCTTGCTAAATCCAATTTTTGATCAAAACTGGTCAAACACAATTTGCATTCGTATGAACTACTACCTTTATAACTCTGCTCGTGCACGGTGAGATTAGATTTATCAGAAAAACTTTTTGAACAGTGTTTGCAGCTGTAGGTCATATCACCTGAATGAGTCCGCTCGTGCGTGGTAAGATATTTTTTTTTAGTATAACTTTTCAAACAGTGTTCACAACTGTAGGGCTTCTCACCTGTATGAGTCCGCTCGTGTTTTGTGAGATTGGATTTATCAGCAAAACTTTTTGAACAGTGTTTGCAGCTGAAGGGCTTATCACTAGAGTGAGTCTGCTCGTGCACTTTGAGACTGAATTTCCGACTAAAACTTTGTAAACAGTGTTTACAGCTGTAGGGCCTATCACCTGTATGAGTCCGCTCGTGTTTTGTGAGAGTGGATTTATCAGCAAAACTTTTTGAACAGTGTTTGCAGCTGTAGGGCTTCTCACCCGAATGAGTCCGCTCATGCGTAGTAAGATTTGATTTTTGAGTAAAACTTTTTGAACATTGTTTGCAGCTGTAGGGCTTCTCACCCGAATGAGTCTGCTCGTGCACTTTGAGACTGAATTTCCGACTAAAACTTTGTAAACAGTATTTGCAGCTGTAGGGCTTCTCACCCGAATGAGTCCGCTTATGCGTAGTGAGATTTGATTTTTGAGTAAAACTTTTTGAACATTGTTTGCAGCTGTAGGGCTTCTCACCCGAATGAGTCTGCTCGTGCACTTTGAGACTGAATTTCCGACTAAAACTTTGTAAACAGTATTTGCAGCTGTAGGGCTTCTCACCCGAATGAGTCCGCTTATGCGTAGTGAGATTTGATTTTTGAGTAAAACTTTTTGAACATTGTTTGCAGCTGTAGGGCTTCTCACCTGAATGAGTCTGCTCGTGCACTTTAAGACTGAATTTCCGACTAAAACTTTGTAAACAGTGTTTACAGCTGTAGGGCATATCACCTGTATGAGTCCGCTCGTGTTTTGTGAGAGTGGATTTATCAGCAAAACTTTTTGAACATTGTTTGCAGCTGTAGGGCTTCTCACCCGAATGAGTCTGCTCGTGCACTTTGAGACTGAATTCCCGACTAAAACTTTGTAAACAGTATTTGCAGCTGTAGGTCATATCACCTGAATGAGTCCGCTCGTGCGTGGTAAGATATTTTTTTTTAGTATAACTTTTCAAACAGTGTTCACAACTGTAGGGCTTCTCACCTGTATGAGTCCGCTCGTGTTTTGTGAGATTGGATTTATCAGCAAAACTTTTTGAACAGTGTTTGCAATTGTAGGGCCTATCACCTGTATGAGTCCGCTCGTGTTTTGTGAGATTGGATTTATCAGCAAAACTTTGTGAACAGTGTTTGCAGCTGTAGGGCTTCTCACCCGAATGAGTCTGCTCGTGCACTTTGAGACTGAATTTCCGACTAAAACTTTTTAAACATTGCTTGCAGCTGTACGGCTTGTCACCTGCGTGAGTCTGCTCATGCCACGTTAAATCGAATTTTTGAGAAAAACTAGTGGAACAAAATTTGCACTTGTAGTGATGCTTATTAACAGTAGAAATACATGCGTGCACTGATGAGTGGTTTCTAACAGTAAAAACTTTGTGACATACTCTGCAACTGTAAGAGTTTTCTTCTGTGTGGATACATTCATGCTTTGTAGAATCATCATTTCTTCTGCTATCTTTACCGTATGTGTCGCCAGAGTCGTTGTTTTCGGCCATTTTTCTGTAAATGACGATCGGCAGATTACGCCAGCTGAAAAAAAATTGATCAAGTAGTTGTCGATGATTTCTTATGTGGTGATGTTTTTGCTCTGATTTTATAACAATCGCACATGTATTTTAAGTTGTTTTCGTATTCAAGATAGTGAGCAATTCTTACGATTACTTCAAGTACTTATAGGTTTTAAGATACGTATTTTTAAAGTTTATGATTTACTACTTACAAAAAAAAAAAAAACTTGATTCTGCATAAAAAGATATCAATTATGTTAAAGTGTCCATTAAACTAAGTTTGAGCGAATAAAAACTTAATGTTAAGAAATATATAATCTCTAATACTACTTATTTTAAATGGTTTGTCTGCCTACTCGTACGGTTGTGTTCCATTATTCGACAATTTCTGTTAGTTCAAACTAATGGTGTCTCACTTGCGTCAAATTAGTTTATTTTTAAAAGTAAATCAACAATTTTAGAGATTATTGACATTTTTTTTTTTTTTAATCGGTGGTAAAAGTTTTAAGCTACATTTTTAAACTCCTTTTTATCCATTATTATTAAATTTTTCATTATAACTTAAAAACGAATTTCATTCTATGTTCATTATGTTCTATTATTAGGCGTTTTACCTCATGTGATAAATTTAGGAGATAGTAAGAAACTACTACTACTTTCAGTTACATCAACAGTGGTCAAACTCTAAAATACTGTGCAGAATGTTTTGCAGGGCTGATTTCATGCAAAAAGTAAAATAAAAATATTGAACATAAAATTAAACTTTCAATTTTCTTTTTACACTAAAAAAAATGTTTTTAAGTGATGCATCTTATCACTTGCATGGTACGTGTTCTGATGCGTGAAGCAAGCATTAGTTACCATAGCATAACATTCAAACTTAGTAAAACAAATATTTAATATTTCCTTGGCTTGGTGATCAATGCCAGTTTTTCTTCAACTTAAAATGAAGCTAATGATTTCTATTTCGAACTTTTAATTTTTTTTAAGGTTTTAACTATTTGTCTATTTGTTAAGAGATCTACAATTCTACCTACAGAATACCTATAAGACGTATGTCAAATTGGGTAACATTTTGATAAAAGGAAAAAAATGTTTTACCATCAAACATACTTGAATTAGATAAAGACTGAGTTTAGCAGCTTAGTACTAGTATTGATACCATCAAACATACCGAATTTTTTTTTTTTTTTTTTATATCCATTAGTTTAAGACATGTAACCCTTTAATTTACTAAATTTTACTGGCTACCCAGGCTGAGTCATAAGAGCCTTAAAGGGTACTTAAAGTTAAGTTTGGCAATCAACGGTACTGCTGCAACAGTCTGGCTGTTGCAAAAAAAATTATTATTGCACATTTTTGTATTAAAAAACAAAACTTTTTTTAATAATTGCATTTATTATTAATGCTAGAGAATGTACCAAATGTAGGTAACAAATGTATTTTGTTTTGGATATTTATTTAAATTAACTATATCACAAATTGTTGGTGATCTTTTAATACTTCGAATTTAGTTAACGTGTCTCTTTTTCTTAAATTTTTATCTTAAAAAAAATTTAACAACAGAAATTTTTTATATCTACTTTTTATTACATTTAGAGTGAAAGTGTCATCCATCCCAGAGCGAGCATCGCCATCAGAAGTACCATGTACAATATCATTCTAGTTTTTTAAAAAATGATGCCCAAGTTTTTATAGTGTACAATTTTTTACGTTGAGAACTTTTTTGCGTTAACCTTTGATATTTATATTTGATATTTTGAAACAAAAAGTAATAACGTTGGAGCTAAACGTTTTCTAAGTATAATTATAGATTACGTTATCTAAATGGTGTCCAAATGAGGATAAGGCTGTTAAGTTTTACAGATAAAACGATGAATTAAAAAATTCAATATTCATGACAAAAAAGCATTGGAGACCTGATTTACGTTATTTAAATATATAAAAGGCTCAAAGTAAGATACAACTATTTCATATTTATTGAGAAAAAATCTCATCTTGGATATGCTAAGAAAAAAATAACGTTACAAAATACATTAGGAAGAAGAATCTATTCTAAAAATCCTTTTTGGGATAACGAACTTTTTTTGTCACGAGATGATTTATCATGAGTACGAAGGTGACAACGCGATATAATTGTCTCCTTTGCACTCATGACGAGTGACCATAAGACCTTAACTAACTTAACAGGTGGAGCCAAATTTTTTTCGCGATTTCATGCAACAGCAGTGGTTACAAACTTAACGTCCATTATCTCTGACTATTGTCACCAAGCAGAGAAGTAAGCAAGTGGTCAAGTTTAAGAGAGAAAAGAGCCAAAACGAGCTGAAGGATGAGTATAAGTGTTCATTACGTAACACACTAGAAGTTGGAAAAAAAAATTAATAAAGAATGGTCTAAATTAAAAAAATCATGCATAACTAAACTACGGGGAAAAAAATTATTTTGTCACTATTAGAACAACTTACCATCTACTTCTGGATGTATAACTTCGAGATTCAGTGTTTGTTGGCTTGTTCGAGCACTTGGTACGATAAATTTTACTGTAAAATTAATTGTACTTCCAAAGATTTGCGGATTTATGGGTATGTTCTGGAACATTAATAAAAAAAATGAAGATGCAATCCACTTTGAAAAACTTCTTTTGCCCTACTTAGGTTAAATATGCATACATTTAATAAGTATATTTATCAAACTCTAAAATGTGAATTCTGGTGCAGTATTAAAACTATTTTTTTACAACCAAAGAAGGCACTGCGATCCAAACGGTCAAACAGTTGGGTATCAGTTATGAAAAGCAACTGAATTTCAGTGTGTAATACTGCTTTTTTCAAATCGTCACGTATTTTTAGTGATGACAAAGATTTCGTTAATGATATATTGATAGACTTTTTTCATTCCTCGTTAATTTATACAGCCAAACGGTTAAAGTGTTGTCTTATCACTGGCTTGAGGAAAGTCGTTTACTAGTTCTGATAAATACAAATAACTTCTCTTTTGAAAATTCATTGTGGTTATGCATCAATGGAGCTAATTTTTTCTATAATTTTTTTATCATTTATACTTATTCGACACACAAACATCTCTAAAAGTAACAGCCATGCCGATTTTCATGCATAAAAACATTTATTTTTTCAATTGGCTGTTTCAATATAAAGCTCTGTAGAGCATTGATATCAATGATGTCGCAAAGATTTGTAGAAAACTTGTTAAATGATTAGTAATTTACTAATTAAAAAAAAATTACTTAATGCACAGAAACTTTTTCACCCTAGATGCTGGAATAGCCTCCTCCAATATAATTAAACACTACCACTGAAAACTATTTGAATGTAATTTCTATTTCGCGTGAATATACGATCCCTTATATATGTATATAATGTATAAGTTCATGAAATGTTCGTAGATCGAGTCCATCTAAAAAAAAGCTGTCATATTGTAATGCAAAAAAGGAAAGTAAAAGAAGCTCAGACAACGAAGGGGTACTACTCTCAGAGTATATGTAGGAAAAAAAGCATCGAGAAAGCCATTTTTCGAGTCAGAGCTCGTGTAAGCTTATAAAAAAAGAGAAAAAGAAAAAGGAATACACACACATGCATACCTTGCTACTCGTGAACCACTGACCTACTGGAGGATCGGTCTGGATCAGTCAGCGTAAGTATCGGAGGTGAGAGGGGAAAGGGGCGAGCCAGGCCGTAAATTCGTGGGTTGTTTTATACACATATATACCGATTCTGTTGTACAATATGATATATCGACTCGGCGAAAGGTTAGAGAAACAGCAGCAATTGGTTCATTGACTTCCTCCTCTCGTTCTCTCTCTCATACTTTTCTCCGTTGCTATTGCTTTCCTTCTCTTTCGTGTAAGTACCATATCTCCTTTTCTTGGATCCCTGAGTCTTTTTTCACTGTGGATCAGAGGTTCTTTTCTTTTTGATCTTTTTTTTTATCTTTGTTCTCTCCATTATTTGTATAATAATGTTTGTGGTGACTATACACATTGATAGTACAACGAACAAAAAATAATAATAATAAGAAGAAGAATGCAATGGTCGTAGACGCGCGAATAAAAAAATACACATCATCCATAGTAAGCAGAACACATTGATGAGAGTTTTCGTTAAAATCCGAAATGCTACATATTATTTTTTGTTGTTAAAAGGGTGTGATAAGTTCTTGAAGTTCATTAATCCGTTTTGATTGAGTTATCAATATATGTTTTTGAAATAAGAACAGTACGTTTGAGAAGGTGGAGGATTATTTTTTCACTGCACATTAACGTTTTTATACTTATTTAGTTAAAAGTGTATAAGCAAGGTTCAAAAAGTAAGTGATCGACATCACAATCAGATTAAACAAAAAAACGTTATGAATAAAAAAAAGAAATCCAAAAATCTTTTAAAGGATCTAATGTTATAAGAACACTTTTGCCAAAAAATATGATATCGAAAGAAAGCTTTATGCACATTTAATAACACTCAAAATAACTTCAGTAAAGTACAACTTTCAAAAAATGATTATTTGAAATACCAAAAAAAATTTTTTCTCGTATTCGTACGTTATATTTCAGCAGCTTGAGCTTGAGATCTTGTAGTTGGAAAAATTTTTTTTTTAAACCCAAAAACGTTCGAAGAAAAATCAACAGTACCCAACGCGGTCATTAACAAAAACAATACAAGCACACATGAGCCGATGAATTGGCAGCTCAAAGGAAGAAGGAAAGAAGTTGCTCGGTCGGTCAACCACCTGTGAGAGTGAAAGTGTCATCCATCCCAGAGCGAGCATCGCCATCATTGCCTCCGATACACCGTTCTCTGGTGACCATTATAATATATCCTCTCTTTTTCTTTCGAACTCGTAGACCCCCATCGTAACGATTGCGGCATTAACCTACCTTCTCATCTCTTTGCTCCTTCCTCGCTTTGCTCGTTTGCCCAACTCCTTTTTTGGCGTCACCTTTTTTTTCCCTCTTGAATGTGACGTGCATT